GATAAAGAATTTTTGTTGCAAATTGATGCTAGTGATGTGGGTTGTGGGGCAGTTTTGTTACAAGAAGATGAAAAGTATGTTTGTCATCCTGTTGCTTATTTTTCCAAAAAGTTTTCCAAATGTCAAAAAAATTATTCAACTATAGAAAAAGAGTGTCTGTCCATGTTATTAGCCTTGCAACATTTTGATGTGTATGTGAATTCATCTGTACATCCAGTTGTTGTTTTCACTGACCACAATCCACTCACATTTGTTCACAAAATGAAAAACAAGAATCAGAGGCTTATGAGATGGAGTTTGGAATTACAAGAGAAAAATATTGTCATAAAACATATTAAGGGAAAAGAAAATTTAATTGCAGATGCTTTGTCAAGAGTATAGGTTAATTAAAATGTTGTTTTTTGAAATGTATGTAAATTTTGTGAAATCATGATATTGTTTCATTGTAATTGTAAAAGTTTTCATTATACTCAAACTTTTCTTAAAGGGGGGAGGTGTTACGATACTCTAAAATTATTTATAGATATTGCGTCACTATAGCTATTATTTTTATTGTGTGACGTCATGTTCCCTTTCGGAAGTTCTCGGATGTCGCGAATACAGCCGAGGAACACCAGCACGCGATCGTCTGCGACACAGGATTCAAGAGACTTTAGACATTTGGCACGGGAATAATGGACTTTTCATACTTCATAATTCGGCTTGGGCTTTGGGCTAACCGTGGAAGTATTGTCGTGTAGATAGCGATCGGTGTCCGTGGAGCTGGAGGACTTCCCTTTTGATTAACAGCTGAGTAAATTCTGTCCGCTATTATTGTTTACCTTTTTTTGTGTGTGTAATTGTAACTGTATGTGTTAATTTAGTATGATTATTTGTTTTTATCATTAAAATTTGTTAAAGTTTTAATTCGTTTTGCCTGGTGTGTTGTTGTAAGTGTGTCATCGGGAGCCAAAAATAGATTTGTGTATTCGGCACACGTTACAGTGTTATATATTGTACGATAGGCGCACGGATAAACAGGCAGTTAACATCGGATTAAAAAAACAGATCCCACGATAAAGCATGCCTCAGTGAAGAATGTGCTAAAATTGCAAGCATCTGTGATGAGTAGATGCTGCGAAAACTGCGATCAAAACTGTTACGGACAGACACACAAACAGTTAGATAGACGGACAAACACACCAGGTAAAACAGTATACCCCTTCCTCGGCTTCTGAGCGGGGGTATAGTTAAAAGATGTGTCCAGTGATTATTTTTATAAGTGGGTAACTATTTTTGATACGCCTTGAGTACGTTTATATTGTCAGACTGAGTATATTTAAAAATATTAACTTGTAGTTTAAGAATATTTACATCAAAATAATAAAGGTAAAAGCTTTGATTAGTTTTTAAAGATCAGTATCATGTGTCTCGAACAAAGTGCAATCACTGACATAATATAATTCAAGTGTATTTGTTTTGTTTTTTTACCTATCGATTATTCATAAACTTTGTAGACATAAAACTCACCCCCCCCCCCCCCCCCCCCCCCAAAAAAAAAATAAAACCAGAAATACAAAAATAATGTCGGAAATGCTGAGCATAATTCCTTAAACTTTATAAATGTAGTACACAGTTTCTAATCAGTCTTTCTATATAACAAGCTGTTGATTGAAGAAAAGAAATGCCAGAAATGCTGAATATACCGGTAATTCCGAAAAAAAAATCGAGTTTTTAGCGCCTAAACGCATTGCTGCTCATACATGTATCTCTGCACTACCCTTTGAATACAGTCACAAGTTAATTGTCCATTCACAAAGTGGATGTCAAATGGTTATTTTTCTGTGTATAACATAGACATATAGCTGGTGGAAGAATCACATAATACCACGTAATCGTCCTCTTATGGAAAGTTTACTCCCCTATTAAGTTTTTCTTAAACCTATCATTTCTAGTGTATGCAGTGTTGACAAACTTGAACCTACAGAGTATATATATGATTTATTGTTCGATTTTGATTTTCAGTCAGAAAAGTCTTCATTTCCAGTTTTATTACCTGAAATTTACTCTTTCATAAATGTCGGAAAATAAAAGTCAACGAAAAATTGCCAATAAGCTATAAAATATCAGAAAGAAAAAAGGTGTAAGAATATATATTTTCATTACTGAAATAAAATGCAGTCAAATTATTGAGATAATCTGTTTTTATTCTCCATTCTGATTCTTATGAACATTTATTTCGGTCAGAATTGCATATCTTTTACAAACACAATATTATTTTTTATGCCGTTATTTTGTATGTTTTGAAAAATCTGTGTATCTTCTACGCACCAACTCCTGATAGATCCTGAGTGATTGATTAATTTTTATTGAATATCATGTTTCTCATCTGACTTTATTTTCTGCAGTTTTTTGTTTTTACTACGCTATTCTTTTTTCTAAATGTGGACAGGTTTTCGTCTGCATCGACGCTGCATGTTCATAAAATTAATCGCGTTCAATATGATAAAGAGGGCAAAATGTATTCCTTTGACAACACTTGGAAAAATTGTGGAAATACTTACAATATCAATTTCTCAATAACTACAGCTACAATTTATGCATTTCCAAAGAAACCATTTTAGGTGTACTCCTTGATTTGCTCTACAAAAAATCGGAATACTTCCGGCACCATCGGGAAAAATGTCAAGTACTGACCGCTACGTCCGAGAAGTTCTTGGCCTCTCTTGTAAACTATAACTAGAACATTGTTTTTAAAAATGTGTTAAAATTCCATTCTTAAGAAAAGAAATATTTTACTTCGATGGGTTTTTTTTTATTTTTATTTTTTTATTCATTTATTTATTTATTTATTTTTTTTGCAAATTCAATAAAAAAGTTTTTTCTTTATTTCATAGCTTTTTAAAGGTGATGATTTTTTACTAGTCCTCATGTATCTGTAGGTGTAAAGATTCCTCAATCTTCGCTAGCGAAGGGTTTCCGATCCGCTTCACATCTCCACCTCTGTAGATTTCGGATCGAAAAACTTTGGCTAGCAAGGATCTCATCTGTATATCGGCCAAAATATCAAAAAGATGTGATCAATTAAATTTTCTCTTAAAAAAATAAAATGTTTCCCTTTGACAATTAACAAGCTACTTTATTGTTCAATATAAAATTCAGCTATATATTTCAACAGTATTTTTTTTTGTAAACTCTTAATAAATAAAATTAAACATGCTGAAAGCTATAACTTCTGTTTTGTCCTAAAAATCGGTAAAATAACTTTATAAAATCTTCACTGGTGATAATAATTCTCTTCAAGACCCCATTCCTATTTTTATTTAGAAGATTCTGCAAGTTTCGATAAAATCGTTATGCATGGACCGAAGAAATAAAAAAAGGGGGGGGGTGTCGTTATTTAACACGAGCATAAAATGACACCCTGTCTGAAAAATCAAATAATTATTTTCATTGATGTTTAGATTTAAATTTGAAATTTAAAATAAATAAGTTGTAAGCTAAGATACTGAATTAAGTTTGTAACATTCCACATTAAAGAATTATTTAAACAAAATAAACAGGATTAAATCACCACATCAATACTTGAATTCAACATTAAAGATGGTTGCATGAATATTATGGTGATATATACAACATTCATTGCTACATACACAGTGTAAATATTCATCTTCAAAACTACGTCTTTTCAGCACGTAATCGCAAATGCGCTGTGGGGAAAAGGATAACGTCATCAAAAAGTAACAAATGTAATGCTACTATTACGTCACAGACGGCGCGATAGACAGAGTTAATTCACTATTCAATACCAAAGTTACCTTTATGTTAGTGACTTTTTAACAATAATCTTGGGAAAATTTGGGAAACATTTTGTCTATAGACATTGGCACATCGTATTCTAGATGCATTCAAAAAAGTCAGATTTATCTCCAGGATATGATTTTAACATAGACAGCTATACACAAACAATAATATTATCTTCCTTCAAATATTGTAAGACATATTATACGTAATTACGCAGTGAATAGTTCTATCATTTTTTACAAAATGAAGGAATCAAAACCAAATATACTTTTTTCAACAAAGAGGTGTAGGACATGAGAATTTACCTTGAACAATCGTAGCATTCATTTGCTCAATGACTGTTTTCAAAGCTTGGATTTCCTTCTCAAGTTTCGTAGCATTCATCTGCGCAATTATTGCCTTCAAACCCTGGATCTCCTGGTCAAGTTCATTTCTAGTGATGACCTGGTCACCGTGGTTGATGTTTTCTAGAAGAATTGCGGATATCGTCCCAAAATCTATCAAAAGAATTAAAGTTCTGGCAAAGAACATGATGGTGTTTATCTGCATTGTAAAATTAGACGGTCTGAAGATAAGAATAGTGCACAATGTCTTAAGGTCAAGATCTAGTAAATGACTTTAGACTAGTCTTGTGGTGCTAGATCCATTATGACGTCATAATCAATTTCAACTTTCTTTTTCCCGTACTTTACGGCTTTGGCAGAATTATGTAGAAAACAGGGTATGTTCATGAAATTCAAGTTGAAATCATATGAAAAGTAAACCGGATACCTATATTAAATTTGATATTGATTTATAGAAGAGGCCATGAACATACTAATTACCATTTTCTGAGAGACTGTAGGCAATCTGGATACATTTCCTTTGCCGAATACGGAAAAATCTCCTATATTCATGACTGGTTTTCTTAATTTTTCATTGAAAATGACAGTTTAAAATACAGTTTTTCATCTTGTTTACCTATGAATTATGGCCCGAAACACCTAGTTTGACCAAGCTTAACTTGTAAAGCATCAATAAAGGAATTTATTTCTCAAATCTGATAAATTTGTAGGCACCTTTCATTTACTAGAAAGGAAATAACACAATTAACTAATTTTTTTGCTATAATCGTGTTCACTCGGAAAAGATTTGTCATCTTATGCATCTTATGGGGAAAAAAACTTTTTTTTTTCATTCATTTTCATGCACTCTCCATCTTTATTTAATTAGCAGCATATATCAATATAAGAATATAAAAGAATTAAATCCACATTAATGAATTTCTCAAAGATCTGCATGAGCCAGCCATTTTTCTTCCTAAAAAAGACAAAAGTTTGTTCAGTTCAACTGGAGATTTGATGCACGATACAGAGTTTAGCATTACTCGGTAATGAACTTCATATCACATTATCTAATACTTTTGTCCAACTTTATTCGTTACAATGGTACAATAAACACAAAATAACAAATATCTATCTGAATAAATAGAGTTGAAATATAGCTGAATTTCTTATTTCTTCTTTTCAAATTAGCTGGTAAAAGAAAATAATATCAGCAGCTCCAACACCAAATGCACATTTCTCGGAGCACTGATTCACTGCAACAATTGTGTACGACACATCCAGTGTATCATTTCTCATATAACACTCCCCGTAAAACTCCAGACCAAAGAACTGTAACATTCTGTTTCTGGTCTCCTCTGCACACGCCCGGACTGTCGCGCCAATGTCATACCAGTTTATCTGGGGTCTCATATTAACATAACTCAGAAATCCAGGGTTAGCACCGGCAGCATAGTAGCAACCAATAGGTGTAAAGTCCCGAGTGTTTGGTTGGATCATCTCTCCATTGTCTACAATGCAACGGTTGAATATCCCATAAAAATCAAATAAGCACATTTATATCTAAAACACTTTTTTAATTCATTCTTATTTCAAAACCCCTTTTATGTGAACTTTTTTTTGAATAATAACATTTTAATCATTCAATCATATTGATTAGCATTATAATATGCACTTTTGTAATGATAAACCACAACATAAATTCTCTTAAAGAAATTTTAAATAATATGTTTATACATGAAATCATTTATATGTACATTATGTACATATTGGAGTGTATGCATGAAATACATATATGGAGATAACGAACAGTATTGAAGTGTGTATGTACATTGCATGTACAGCTTCTAAACGACAATCCAATGACCGGAAGATACCCTGAATACAACCAGAAAAGCCATCATTCCACTGACATTGTTTCTTGTACACACGTGTTGGGCTGTGTTACCCTAACCTTACCTTGAATACAACCTGAACAGCCATCATTCCATTGACATTGTGTATCCTGAATACACGTGTAGGGCGCTGTGTGATCACTTCCCTGTTCACAGATCAGGTCATACCTACATCTGTGGTTACTACAGCTTCCCATGTACAGGTCCTCCTATTTGAAAAAAAAATATAACACCCATGTGTAACTATATAAGAAATGCTCAATATCTTCTTCCCCAATTTCCTCTAGTTATATGTTGTTATCTTTTATTTTTGGAAAGAAGAATAATCATTTGACTATATGTGATAATGATAGAAAACAAAAGTTTTAATTTAATTAAATGTATGAAACTGTACACACTTTTTATCTTCATGCACGTAAAGAGAAACGCACAAAACTATGTTTTTGAATTTATGCCGCAACTGTTTAAAAACATTTCCTAAACATATGGAAAAATCTCCCTGGAGAATTTAGTACGGTTAGTTAGAAGAAAGCATTAACAAATATAGATATACGAGGTTTATCCCAAATTTTCATATAAATAGCCTTAAAAACAGACAGTTGTTGTCATTATTTTCAAAGTGTTGTTTTAGGATGTGAAAATTTGAATTTTTATTTGAAAGTTGTCGTAAATGTATACCATTATTTAAATTATTATTTTCTCTTGGTTCGATTTGATTATTTATTGTTTCTACATGTTTATGTCATAAAAAACGCTCAAAACAGAAATTTCAACGCATAATACTATTTTAGTATATGATATGTTACGATATAAATATATGGAGAATACTATTTTAGTATATGATATGTTACGATATAAATATATGGAGAAGTCGAACAGTTTCTACGTTCATTCCATTGACAAAACTGTTCGTCGTGGATTTTGTATCGATCACTCGTATATACAAATATAAAAATTTAAAGAGAAATAAAAAGAACTGAATTACAACAAAAAATATCAAACCTACCAACGGCCATTAAATGCTGGCTAGTTTTATTTCAAAAAGTGTCTACAACATTGAATTTAACAAGTGGTACATACATCTCTCCAAACATCGACGTCATAAGATCTAACGTGACCGGAATTTTCCATTTGTGTTCCAGGTGTAAGGTGGCCTTTGTAGTTTAAATAACATTTCCTCCCTATGGTATCAAAGTTGATAGATAGACATTTTCTTTGAAACTTGCATTTCCTAACACAGGAGAGCAGGGTATATGTAGAGAAAACAGAGTATGAGGCATTCACGATAACCTTTCCGGATGAATAATTGAAGGTCACACGGTAACATGACCTGGTCAGTGATATCAGAATTAGGAGGAAGACCACGGTCTCAGATTTCATTTCAATATCATTCCAATAAGTAAACCAGCGCAGTGTCAAACTTTCCCCTTACGTGCTGAAACTATATGGAATATTAATACATCATATTCTATATCCATTTCTCATAAAGGAGAAATTAATAAAGCCGTTTATGTGAAATGCTCCTCAATAATAACATTGTTATACACACTATAGGAAACTGATTTGATGTCGGTTATTGCACTGTAAAATAAATCAAATTAATTTATTGCACTGTAAGATCAATGCAATTAATCAAGTTAGAGGTCGGATTTTTCTTACATCCAATTGCTTATGCTTATTCGGATGCCATCAGCTGCCGTTACAAGGCAGTGTATTTAGAGCTGAACTCGGCATTATTGCTCATTGTGAGAGAAATGATCGCCAAATATTTAGCATTTACTTAAGGAATAACTGTCTTATTTTTCGAATTCATGAAGTGATCAATGGATTGGCTTGTGTGATAATTTGCATAAACGCCGAAGGCGTTTATGCATAAAATTATCACACAAGCCAATCCATTGATCATCTTCATGAATTTGAAAAATCTGACAGTTATTCCTTATATTTACATGCTTTGATTCCGCCAATCCACGGGCTCCAAGCCTGCTTCTCTCTAGGTGTTGTCCCGCCCTGCACGTGGTTTTTTTTTTTTTGGAACCGCGCCAAAACATTCATGAGGAAATCAATTACATTTACAATTGGTAATTTTATCTCGGACAAAGACATTGGAAATGTAAATATTGTGACATGAGACCTATAAATGTGTCTGTCGCATTCGAAGGACTTAATAATTGTCTTCACGTCCAAGAGAGAATTTCGATAAATTAAACCTTTAATTAGGGTTAACTATATGCAGTTACTTCAAACCTCTAGTATGAAAGGATGTATTCATTTATTTTTGTATTTGTGGCAAGAAACAGACCAGAAAATTAACAAGTATACTATTAAGAATTCTCTTTTTATTCTTACATTCGATCCAATATATTGATCTAATCAGAACTTACAGTTCTTAAAGGAAAATTAATGTAAAACTCTGGAAAAAATATCCCATTGTATTTGGCGATTGATCCTTAAAAAGCATGCTAAAGCAATCAGTATAGTGTCTACAGGGGGTTCCTTCTCATATTTTTATTTTAACAAAAATTAAAATTATGCATTCTTGTAATGACAAATTGTGCAAGTATACTACCAAACATAGAATTTTTATTAATTTATTATAATTAGTCACGGCATTAAGTAATCACTATAAAGCAATTTCTAGATTGATCGACAAAATTGGGGAAACTGGAAGTTGGGTGGATTCAAGGCAATTCATTAGATACTAGATGACATGGTAGTCAATTGCTCTATATTATTTAGTTGATTTGTAACTGGGAAATTTATCAACATCAATAGGCAAGAATTAGATATCTGGACAAAAACGATGCGCAGTGCACGTCGGGATATTGCATTTAGTTTTCAAGCAAGAAGTTTATGTAAGTGTTTTGTCATGACACCAAAAAATTTGTCAATTCCATCAAATTGAAAAAGCTAGCATATTATATGTACTAGTACCAAGAAGAAATTTACAAACAATTTACAAAATCTCTGATGTTTTGGATGACCGTGTTTGCTCTGCTCCTATTTTGTATTGTTTTATGGACTTTTTAGCGTTGATACTGTTCATTATCTCCACAAATTCGATCAAGAATAATAAGTGAATTGTTAGCAATTTCTTATAGTGTATCATTGGATAACGGCATTATTCAGAAAGAAAACCACCTCCCGAGACATTCATATTCCATTCAGGGGGATAATTTCATTGTTTATTTTAATAAATGTACTCTTAAAAAAGATCATTGATTAAAAAAAGTTTTGTTTTTTTTTACTTTTTTGGTCTTCTTAGCATAACGGTAGGATCAATATTTTGTCATTATCGATAAATTCAGACACACTGACAACTGAATAATTGGCAAGTTAATAATTTATTTAGACTAGAAAATGGATTGCCCTTATTTTACTCTTATTTCAAGAAATATTTGGAGATAAACGTACAGTATTCAAGATCGAAAGTCCATAAAACAATACAAAATAGGAGAAGAACAAAAACGGACCTCCAAAACATTAGAGGTGGGATCAGGTGCCATGGAGGAGCGATCATCCTCTGCCGACCGGTCACACCTGCCTTGTGCTCCTTGTCATGACCGGGAATTAACGAAAAAAATCCGTCGTCAATTCAGTGTATAAATAATGGACTAGCAATTAGTATGAAAATTGTCAGTCAGCATTTGACTCAAAAATAAATTGTTTTTGCTGACAAGATCATTACATCGACCATAGAACTTACGAAATGATGACTTCATACAACCAGTCTTCCTTGTTATATATATTCTGAACTACCAACTTTATCAGATTTTTCTATTGTATAACGTGATTTTTTTTAAAGGGTAATGTTGATTATCTACACAAAATTAAAACGTGAAATGACATCCAAAACCATAACTCGCGTTAATTAAAAGGCTCAACTTCTTACGGAATATTTAATAAATTTCTTACCGCAATCCCTTATCTTTCATTAGTGTTCAAATCTAAGGGGATGTTCAAATAACAAGTTCAAGTATGAAAAATTTTATTTTTATTTTTTTATTTTAAAAAGTTCATGAAATCGGGTGGATTTGAAACTGTAAACATTTTCAGTATTTGTCTCTATATAAGATAATGATATCTTCTAAGTTTTATACTAGAGAGAAATTTAATTGTTGAACAGGAAATTTGGTTCTCTGCAGACAGTGACAGGGTTTATGATTAAATCTTAATATATATTAATTTCAGACAAAAGAAATTAATTAAGTCATCCATATGAATTGTTTTCAATAATGATGTTATCCATATTAAAATCCTCTACAAGACAGTATCGGTGTCAGACATTACAAGTGTAATTCAATTCAATGGATTAAGAATATAAACACACATTTACAAGAATTTTAGGAAAATCCATTCTTTCAAATAAAAGAAAAAAATATCTTAATATATCAATCTTAACTTACCATTAAAAAATAATAAAGGCAAGAATAATGTAATCGATCTCCTTAATCTGTTGTACGGGGCATAGAACACGGACCTCCGAAGTATCCAGTGGGGACAACAAGTGCCTAGAAAAAGTAAACATCTCCTGTTGTTCGGAGCTCTAATTATTGATCAGGTAGATTAAGTTATCCAATTAAATGTAAAACAATGATATTTATATTAAATAGTATGTGTCTTTCAAAATACTTAAAAACCATAAAGAGTGTTCTGCACATACGGTCAATAAAACAGAAAATTTTCAAACTCGTTACTTTTAAAGGGTTGTTGAAATTCACATCACATCAACTTGATTTCAGAACCATTAATTGTTGATCAAGGCATACAGAATATTGTTTTTAACATAAATATCTCTAATGATTCTCTTAGAAAATAAAACACTTAATACTTTCTGAAAGAAAACTGCTATAACTATTTTCAAGTACATCAGTTTTTAATATACATAAAAAAAACGTTATATACAAATATAATTATGACATAAATAATGAAACATATGGATATGGAATATATATGGAGATATCGAAAAGAATTCAAGATCAAAAGTCCAAAAAACAATACAAAATAGGAGCCGAGCAAACACGGATCTCCAAAACATTAGAGGTGAATCAGGTGTCATGGAGGAGTGACCATCCCATGCCGACTGGTCGCAACTGCCGTGTGCTCCGTCATGATTGGGAAATAACGGGAATACCCTTTGTCAACTTAGTGTATAACTAATGGACTAACAATTAGTATGCAAAAAAATATCTGCATTTGACTTAATGATAAATTGTATTTGCGCCAGGAGAGCTTAAGATAAAAGATACCACAGAGTCTGACACATCTGTTTCATACTTGGATATTTTACTTGAAAATGGTAACCTAACAACCAAGTTATATGATAAACGTGACGACTTTAACTTTTCTATCGGCAACTTCCCTTACTTATGCAGCAATATACCTTCATCACCTGCATACGGAGTTTATGCATCTCAGTTGATTCGATACTCAAGAGTTTGTTTACGAATGAACAATTTCTAAAACGAGATAAATTATTGACAAACAATATGAAACAAAAATATCAGCAATTTTGTTTAAAGTCATCATTTCGTAAGTTCTGTGGTCGATACATTGGCCTTGTCTACAAATTACATTTTTTTACCGAGTCAAATGCTGACTGACATTTTTCATACCTTATTGACAGTCCATTATTTATACACTGAATTGACGACGGATTTTCCCGTTATTTCCTGATCATGACAAGGAGCACACGGCAGATGCGACCAGTCGGTAGGGAATGCTCACTCCTCCGTTGAACCTGATCCCACCTCTAATGTCTTGGAGGTCCGTGTTTGCTCTGCTCCTGTTTTGTATTGTTTTATGGACTTTTGATCTTGAATACTGTTCGTTATCTCCATATGTTTCATAGATATGGTAGTTCAAAGTCATTTTCAATTGGTTCTTTCGGATATTAAAAATATTCAAAACTGACATATGATTTTGAAGAATTTCTTCCTTAGAAAGGGAACTATAAGTATAAGTTGGATTACCACTTGTAGAAATAAATCCAAGTTCTTCTAAAATTTATATAATGCGTCTTACAAACGAAAACAATGTTGTTACCTGTGCTGCCTGCTTTTTAAAGAAAGACCTCTTCATTATGACTACGATACTAGTCTTTCTACATTTATATTTTTATTTAAAAGTAATCAAAGTTATTTAACCATAATTTAAGTTCAAAGTATAAAGAATAGAAACTTAGATTCAGAGCATGTAGACGAAAATGAAAATAATAGACAGAAATCAAGTTCAAAAGACCATTTGAAAAACACAAAATTTGAAGCGAATAAATACAGACCTTTTTAAAAAATAGATAGAATCAGGCGTTATGGAGCAGTGAGCAGTGGAACTGCTGAGCGGTTAACCCGTCGAGTGCTCTTTGTCATGACTGGGTATAACAGAAAAGTTTGTATACAATTAGTGTGAAAATAGTGGCATATATTTTTGTATGTAAAACGTTTGATTTTTTGCTAGAG